TTTTCTTACTTTATGAAATGACGCACAACATTATCGCAAATTCAGTAGTACATTCAATTAGCAATGTCAAAATCCCTCGATCAAATGAATTGACAAAGCCATCCATGAACAAAATTGCTACTAAATCTCCAACATTTTTTAGAAAGAATTTAGGTACATATATATTTGTGGGCCAATTAGCGTGTAGACCATTTTGATATTTTATGGTATTGATTGATGCTTCAATATGATGGTCACATGTAAGTCTCTTGTCAAGTAGAAATGCTGTTGTTGCAAAACTACTTGTCCTAATTATTAAAGAGTAAGGCTTGACAATGCTGGGGAGTTTACATCCCAAACATTCAATGATTTTTGTATGTCAATTGGAATTGCTATAAAACATCCAGTAGCCTATGTTCATACACAATATGGCCTTGCGGTGTCACTAATAAAGAGACTGCAATTGATTTCAAGGCCATTATCAATGAGATCAAAATTACCTTCATCTGCTTGAAGTCATGCCATAATACAGCAGCAACTCTAATTAAATTGAAACCGACAATGTAATACCCCATATTTTCATACGTATTTTAATTTAAAACATTATTTTATGAAGTATTTAAATAATTCGAAATAAATTATTGATGGTATTTTAATAATTTAAAAAGGTTTATTTTAATTAAAAGTCCATTTTAATTTATTTAATTATTTTGGAAATATTTTATTTTATCATTTGTAAACTTTGGAGCATAATTATTTAATAAAAGGAAGTTTTAAGGTCAATGGAATTTTAAATAAAGTCAATGACTACTTTGAATAGGAGAAGGGATCATTAAGGGTAGAAAAGGAATTTAAGTTAGGAGGGTTTTGAGAGAGGGTGTAAATACCCATCTTATGAGCAAATTAGACCTTGCGTAAGATGGAGAATACCCAAAAGTAAACTCTCTTTCTCTCTCCTCTTATTTTCTTTCTCTCCTTAATTTTTTCCCTGTCCCTCACAACACTCACACGCACAAACCAAGGTGGTCGGCCGTCACCACCACCACTTTCCCACCGGCCAGCTGCCGCCGACAGCAACCCCCTCTCGTGCGTGCGGTTGTGTTAAAAAAATAATCTCTCTTTCTCTCTCTTTTGTTTTAAATTAATCCAACCTTGATTAATTATTGATTTTGGGTATGTATGATGATTTCATGATGTTTTAACTATAATTAATATGTCAGATTTAGTTTTTGAATTAAAAAGCCCTAAATTGAATGCCCTAAGTTTCTAAATTAATGTTTATTGATGGAATTTGATTATAGTTGATTAAAACTATTGAAAGTAATGTTTTTAAACAAAATTACAGCAAGTTTATAGGTTTTATAATGCTGGAATTTTTACATAAAGGCTAGAATTATGTTTCATGAATAGGATTATTAATTACCTATTAATTTGGAATAAAAGTAGGTGGTTTAAATGAATTTTCAACATGTTTTAAAAGGTTTAAAAGTGATTTAAAGAGTGTATATATTGCTAAAAATTTATTATGTATAGGTATTAATGTCTCTTTGTAATTTTGGGTTGTAGGAGACTTCCAAGTGTCTGATTTTGTGTAGACGTGGCGATTTTGAGATCATATTCGAGGTACGTTCGCGTACTCGGTAATTACTTAAGTGTGTAGAAGCAAGTTAGGCTTTGTTTAATTAATTACAAGATAATATCATGATAGATATTAATTGGACTTGTATGTTGATTGATTTGTGAAGTATGAGTTATTTGCGGTGTATTGATAATTGGAATTAATTATGTTGGCATGTTGATTATGAACCACACTTTTATTATTGGCATGATTGAGAGCATGTTTAATTAACTAATAAAAGCTTAATTTGGCTTGGAATATAAAAAGAGAATTTTATTATGCATGGTTCATATAGTTTTTATTGACGCTTTAAGCATGGGAGTTGAGCTACTAAGTGTCTTAGTACACAGGATTAAAATATATTGGGGTGCCTAAGTGCACTTAAGGTGTTCTAAACACCGAGGGATAGGATTTGTGGTGCTTTATGCGCTTAAGGTGGTATTCAACGCTAAGGTAGATTATAAAGGGTTCAACATTAAATTTATTTGGTCACTAATTATTCAAGAATTAAATTGGTATGTTTGATTGCTTGAAGGAATTTTGATGATTGATTGTGTTGTGGATCGAGAGTCATCACCACGTTTATAAATATGTAAAATAACTTAAAGTGAAAGAGATTGCGCACCAAAACTCTTGGAACGTATATACCTTGAGTATGAACATATGGGGGGAGCTATGTGACTTAATATTTGATCATAAATTCTAATGGGAGTACAAGACGCTATATTTTCCTTTTATTGTTTTATGCGCAGGACGTTTGTCACTTTCATGTGACATTTGCCTACCCGGTTAGCTCCCGGTGTAGTTTACCTCAATTTATTTGGGACAGGGATTTAGTGGGAAAACCCGTTCGATGCGTAATCAAATTAAATAAGAAAATCATTATTTATTGGTTGGTTGTGTTATATGTTGTATGCTTGTAATAGGTGCAACAAGGTAAGTTGTGTGTTGATAGGATGAAAGCATGTTAGTGTGTACTGTTTACACTTATGTACTCAGAATTGCTGATTATATGTTTGTATGTTTGTTTGGCCTTATCTTTATCTTGGCCCTACGATGACCCATTTCTAATGGTGAGTAGTGGGGACAAAGTAAAGAGAAGCTTTTCAGATGATGAAGCATATTCATAATGGGCATGAGTGAAAATCGAATCTTGTTTATTTGCTTGTGAGACTAACACAAGAATATGATGTATTTTATTTGCTTTGATTATTATATATTTGCTTGTGAGACTAACACAAAGGTTTTAATATTCGTTTTGGGTTTTAAAAGGGCCTACAATGGGTCCAAGTTGTAAGTTGACTTTGTTTGACTTTACTTTCGTTGATTTGACTTTTTAAGTTGACTTGTTTTGAATGGTTTTTAAAGTGCATCTTCTGATGTGTGTCTTTGATAAGGGCCAACAAAGTGGTGTCTGGGAGTTTTTGTTGAGAATTTTATTACCACTAAAGCTAAAAACGTGTTTTAAAACATTTTGTATTAAACTTGGCCGAGTGTTTAAATTAATGAGTTATTTTACAAACTAAGTTATTTTATTTATTCTACATGATTTAATTTTTCTTGAGGACCAATAATATTTTATTACTTTTGTAATAGGTCCGAAATTTTTTTAAAAAAATTGGAAGTCTGAATTATTTTTAGGGAGGTCCGGAAATATATTTTTTTTAAGAGGGGTATCCGAAATTTAAATATTTTTTTTAATAATTTGGCCGAGGGGTATCCGAAATTTAATATTTTTTTTTTAATAATTTGGCTAAAAATTTCGGCCTTTTTGGAATTTTTTTTCGAATTTTTTTTTTAAAAAAAAAAAGAGTCAAAAATATTTTTAGTTTGTTCATTTTGCAGAAAAACGAAGGATTAAGGTAAGAATTATGTGTTAAGAGCTTTAAAAGTTTGTTTATGAGCTTGGGTAGGAAATAATTTGGGGCATATAAGTTAGAATTATTCATGTTCTTGTATGCATTAATATTTAGGTTGTGATGTTTGATCATATGAATTAATTGATGTGGAAGAATGTAATTATGTGATTAGAATAAGTAAGATTGTTTGATTGAACATTGATCTTAAATTCATGTTGGAACTGTATTATTTTATTTTGTTGGGAAGGGAATTCTTTTCTAAGTCTTTTCCTTTACAGGATGTCGATCTTTCCTAGCAAACACTCACAAATTGGTACTCTAATTAAGAAAGATTTTGAACATCCCTTTGACTATGTCAAGAAAATTCGTTTCTATTGCTCACACATGAGCGATGTCCTAGGAGACAAGAATTATGACCTTCCTGATCGTGTTTCAGCTATAATAGTTCACTGTCTTCTAGACGAACCCCCATATCTTGCTGTCAAAGCAAAATTTGCTAATTTCTACTTACTTGGGGACATTCCAAATTACTCCAAATACAAAGATTATTATGGACAGTGGTACCCTGATTACAGATACTTGATTTCTTATCTCATTCGAGTAGAGAAGTGTCACTGTGAGCGTTTACACATTCCATATCCAAATTACTACTATAATAACCTAGCAAGGAATGATTCCCCTTCCACTATTAATCAATCAGGATATTCTTCCCCACCGCAAGGTAATCAAGCAGGAGCAAATGGAGGGCAAGAGGAAGGATAGCTAATGGATGAGAGTAACCATACTGTTGATGGTTCCATTATGGAGACTCCAAATCCAAACCCACCCCAACTCCAATCGTTATTGACATTTCATCTGACGATGAGGAAGATGAAAAGTTTATTCATGTAGAGCAAAATCCAAAGACACTTGAACCAATGGAGGAGGAAGATGATCCTGAATTCGATCTTGGAAGCTACAAACAATCAAAGGATAAGAAGGACAATGTTCGAAAGGACTAGATTTTTGTAGTTTTATTTCTCTTAGGATTCTTAGTTTCATTTCCGTAGTTTAATTATTTCCTTTACAGTAAAGTAATAAGTGGCATGGCCACAGGGAATCAATAAACCCATTGAGTTGCGTAGGTTATTCAAACTCCTTTCATTTCATTTTTCCAGTCATTTTATTTCTTAACAATAATTTTTTATTCATTTCCTTGCCAAATAATTCATTTCATTTCCAAATCATTCATTTCATATCACTACTCCAATGAGCCATTTTTTACTCAAATTTTCCAATAATTCATTTCTAAACTCTTGGGAACCATGGGAATTATTTTTATTTATTATTATGATGCTTTATTAAATGTATAGCTTGGTTAGAAATCAATATTTGGTTGATCAAGCTGCGAAATTTGGGAGTTAGAATTTTGCAACCTCAATTTGTTAGCTTAAATTAAATGTGTGTGTATAAAAGGTATAAATTAGTTAGATGGGTGTCTAACTTGAGAGCTAACCATGACCATAATTAATAAAGACCCCTTGTTTTAATTTAGGAGAAGAAAGATGGCAGGAGGAAGTGGGAACAATAATGAAGGGAATGAGCAGAGTGAGGTTGAGTGTTAGAAAACTGGTTAAGGTAATTTGAGAAACTGTTTGGGGCAGTAGGATGCCCTGAAAATTTGAAAGTAGGTTGTGCTACCTATTACCTCAGGGTTGAAGTTGACCTTTGGTGGCAAAAAAATGAGGCTAAGTATTATACCAAGTTTATTGAGCTGTCAAGGTTTGCCAAAGAGTCTGTTGCTACAGAAAAGGCAAAAGCTAGGAAGTTTGAGAGCGGATTGACCACTGATTTGCAGCTAAAGCTATGTGGGTAAGTGTTCGAAACCTTGGATAAAGTTTATGGAAGGTCTGCACACCTTTATGCTTTAGAGTTGAAGAAAAAGAAAGAGTTAGCTGAAGTGGAAGGAAAAGAAATGAGAAAAGAGATGGGACAGAACTCTGGAAACCCTCAAGGTAACCCAAACAATTTTAAGAAGCAGAAATACCACCACAACAACAACAACTTCAACAACAACAATAACTTCCACAACAACAATCGTCAGGGTAGACGAAATTTCAATAGAGGACCTAAGAACTCTAACCAGGAAAATAATAAGGATGAAAGGTGTTATTTCTGTAAGAGATGCAGAAATAATCACCCTAGTAAAGACTATGAGGGTAACTTGGTTACTGGTCGCGCTTGCAACAAGTTGGAACATAGGGAGTATGAGTGCTTCTCCAAAGATTCTAATCGAAACAAGCAGGGCAATAATCAAGGGAGGGTTCAAAGGAACTTTGAGGGAAATAACAACTATGCAGGAACACAAAGGGGCATAAGAAAATGGGGTGAAGGGCAACAATAATGGGAATAATCAGGTGAAGAGTGGAGCTCTAGGAAAACTGTATGTGATCAGTAGGCATGAAGCCGATACTACGAAGGATGTTATTACTGGTACTTTTTCTATTAACACTATTCACTAGACGAAAAAGGTAATTTGGCACCGGTTCAAACCCCCCCTAAGGCACCGGTTTTGAACCGTTAGGGATTTGAGGGATGCCAAATCCTCAAAAATTTGGCACCGGTTCAAAACCGGTACCAAAGGCCACGCGCAAATTTTTTTTTTATCATCAACACTATTGGCACCGGTTTTAGGAAGAACTGGTGCTAAAAACTCCACTTTAGGCACCGGTTCTTGCCTAAAACCGGTGCCAATAGTCTCAAAAAAAATTTAAAAAAAACTTTTGGCACCGGTTCTTGTACAAACCGGTGCCAGAAATACCCCAAAAAATAAAAATATATTTTTTTTTTTTGCATTTTTTTCCACTTAAATTGATATAGAAACATTAACATATATATAAACTTACATATTTTCATTAAAAAAGGCTATAAAGCCTTTAATATTACAATTTTCGTCCAAAAAAAGTTAAATAATCCAGACTTATCTCTAATTGACCTTTCTTGCATTACACTTAAAACTGGGACCGGGACAACACCTAACACAAAGCCAAAACTACGGAGAACAAAACATATAACAGCAGCCCAAAAAGACTTCCTGAAATGTGAGAAGTCCTGCGTGGTGGAATGCACGAGCTATATTATACAAGGCTTCCTGAAATGACTTGGATTAGTACTATAGTCTCATATGAGTGACTTTAAGATTATGCACACAAAGTAAAAGACTTATTTATTAAATTGGTATTACAAACTTAGAAAAAACATTAATATTAGGCAATCAGATAATATTTCTTAATGTAATAGACTTGTCAACTTTTCAAACTTCATCCCTGAACAAGTTTTCTTATTTAACAACACCAACTTACCTGGCTATTTTCACAAAGTCGCAGATTGTTGTAAAGGAAAGCTAAGCCTTGTGCAACACACTGATGCTTGTTTTGAAGTCTATGTCCAAGGGCTAAATTGATTAAGGCAGCCCCTGCAAAGTAAGATGCATCAGTTAAATGGAGAATCAACACCAGCACACTCATATTAATCAGATTCGGATAAAATTACATAAAACATACCGACACAGAGATTGGTCAGTGGGGAATTTGGCATTTGTTTATGCACTTCCAAGTATTCCCTTGCAGCTACTTGGTGTTGACTGATCATTGTAAACTAATTTCCAGAAATGATCATGGGTGGCACTAGATCCTTATGCTCAACTCGCATATGATGCAGAAACATATTATGCTTTGAGAGACGATTCTCTAACCTAAAGCCAGATGAACAATAGTAAGAAATATTATAAGATAGTTTCAATTTATAAGACAGACCATAGCAAACCAGCAGGGACAGAAAAAACAGAAGCTCTGAGCAGGCACAGGAACAGTCAAACAACCCCAGCACACTGACTAGCTCAGCATCACAGTAGAACACAGCCTGCAGCAAAACACAATAGACAAAACGGGTACACTCAGTTGGTACTTGGGTCTTGCACATCGACTATGCTCGTCCTGTACTTTCACTAGACGAAAAAGGTAAAAAGGCACCGGTTCAAGGAATTCTAGGTAGATGTGATAGAAATGGGGAAATATAAAAGCTTTAGCACAGAGCCAAATTAGTATCTAGATAGCTAGGCAGCCTGATTTTATAGCAAAATTTTGGTACCTGAAATCATACTTCACACTGTTCACCGCATATGTAATCAGCTTATTGTTAGGACTTACCTTGAGAAATAGGAATGAGGTCAGAAACCAAAACTAATAGTGGTGAGGAGAAAGAAGAAGCAAGCTTACCTTAAAAGCATCAATGCAGTAGTATGCATACTTGTTAGCCTTAACATTCTCTTCCAATAGAACATGTTCAGGAGGCATCCACAAGAACTACAACTACAAGTACCACAAGAGAAAATAGAAACAGACGTTAACAGCACAAATTCAGCATGGCAATTACATGTCACTCTTTTTACTGTATATGTATTTTTTAATATAAATGGCCGTATTCGATTTTGATCAGAAGTTACAATTGTAAATTTTCTAATGAATAAGTTATTTGTGCGTGTGTTACTAATGCAGTTTCCGTTGAGTCTGTGATGTACTCAAAACTTTAAGTTTGAAATTTTTTGCTGTATTGGTATTGGCCTTATTGAGCAATTGATGAACATATATTAACAGAACAATGGTCTGGTTATTTGTATAACCAGGAGCATAGGTTAATTTCAAGGTTTATAGGATATGCACTATGTGCTGCAGATGAGGCCCTTAAAGATGCAAATTGGATTCCGACGAAGCAGGATGAGAAAGACAACAGGGAGTATCCATTGGTGGTGGTATTGGTAGCATGAGTGATATTGTTGATGCTGCTCAGCTGATTTGTGAAAAGGTAGATATTTAGTTCTTTGCAGAAGATACTATATTTCAACGATTTTTTTCTTCATCAACACAAAAATGTTCCAAGTGATCTATAGAAATACAAGTAGGATAATTTTTCCTGCCAGAGGTAGTGGGCCAAAGGCAAAAAGTTGATCAGCATTTTAGAACCAAAATATAATTTCTATCTACTCTAATACCTTTGATACTTCTTCCTAAGCAGGGCAAATTCAGCATGGTAAAAGTAGCATCTTGACATCTTGGGTGAAGTAATTGTTGACCCTTCACTCTAAAGAACAAATTTATTGCACAAATGGAAGATGAACTTGCTGTAACCATAGCTTAAACGATATTTTACTCTTAAATTTCCAGCTATATTGAACTGAAATGACAAAATCACAAGACAAAAGTATCAAAACATGAGTGGAAATTAATAATCATGAGCAAAATAATCAAATTTTAGAATAAAAACTGGTAATTGTTGTGACCCTAAGTCCCTAACCAAAATAATAGATTATCAACACAAGTTTCATCAAAGTTTCAATTTTTAAGACAGAATCAGAACAGAAAAGTATCCATTCGATATAGGTGAAGCTCGATATAAGTATCCATGAGGAGAAATATTGAAAATAAACTATATTCAGCAAATTGTTTTCGTAGCTGTCTTATACTATAGCTGTCTTATTACGTATGCCTTGAACTCGAATGTGGAGAAACATTGAAAATAAATGGCTATATGAGCTATATAACAGCACAGAGAAATCTGTTTATAAAACCAATAGACAATTTCTAAAAGATCAAATGAATTTTCTTGAATAAAATGTTTCTTAATGTTTTCAAAGAACCAAAGTGAGCTTTGTTAACAAAAAAGGAGCAATTGCACCTGTCATCAGAATCAATATACAAGAGGCTAGAAAACACATTTCCCACGAAAGAGGATTTGATAGCAACTAGAGCTCTTGGACAGCTGCACATTAGACACTGTTGGAATTGATAGTCACACATAAGTAGGATAAGTTTCAGAGTTTAGTTAGCTTAAGTGATATACTAGATTAACAAGCTCGCCTCAGCCTCAATGTGCTGTCCGTTGAAGCCGAAGCAAGCTCATTATTTGATAAGAATTTGACATATGAAACCGCTTTCTTATGCCCACCAAACACATGAAGGGGCTGGCTTATATTCCTCAGATCATAGTAATGAATATGATGGTCAGCAGACCCAACCTGCATAACAGAGATAATTTTAACAGTCTAAGAAATCGTACAAGGGTACAATGTCCAGCATAACAAAAACATTAATTAATTTCAAGCAAAATTTTCACACAAAAGGAAGCCAAGTTATATCAGCTAGATGCTGATGCAGAAGAAACGAAAATGTACTTGTCATCCACTCATATCAACTCATGGCTTCACTATTCACTAAGCACTGTCCTCAAGACTTGAAAAATTCTAAATGCACCCAAGAATAAAGTACTATATAGACTATAAGGAAAGAAAGAAGGATAATATATTAAAGAATGATTGAGGGGAAGTGCTTGAACAATGCTTCTAAATGCACCCAAGAATAAAGTACTATATAGACTATAAGGAAAGAAAGAAGGATAATATATTAAAGAATGATTGAGGGGAAGTGCTTGAACAATGCTTCTAAATGCACCCAAGAATAAAGTACTATATAGACTATAAGGAAAGAAAGAAGGATAATACATTAAAGAATGATTGAGGGGAAGTGCTTGAACAATGCTTACCGCAATATGATAGCTGGATCCTGGATTGTACTTGACACAACATATATTTGCCTTCATGTCAATATTAAGCACACTAGCTTCCTGATTTGTACACCACACTTTTACCTATCAATCAGAGTCCATACGCAAAGTAACAATCAAATTTCAAGCTCTTCTCACATAAAAAAGCTTCATTGTAAATCGATAATATATGTGTTGATTTGCAACTAATAAATGCAATTAATAATATATGTGTTGATTTGCAACTAATAAAAGCATTTGACAATTGAAACAGAAAGATAGAGAACTGAGCAGAACATCCAGATTTTTATCTTCAGTACATAATATTCAGCCTGAATACGAGTAGTGCCCTTTTTTTTCTCCTAATCCCAAAGTGCATTTTGCATCCCTCAGATACTTAATAAATCCGAATAATGTCAAGATGCATAGATAGAAAGCAAGCTATACCAGACAGAATAAATTAATGACAAAAAGTCAAAAACTGATGGAAAGGAAAGACGAAGAATATGTATATATGTACACTCAGCTTTTTTCTTAATGGACTTGCTAAAAGTTACTTTATTCAGAAAATTAATGCTTTCTTCACTAAACTCTAGTCATTTGCTTCCCAGAAAAAGTGAAGCTCCTTCACTAGGACTATTATTGTCAAGTTCTAAGAAAATTGTAAATAATGAGTACAAAAATCATATGGCAACAATCAATGATAATTTGGAAGGAAAAAATTTATATAAATGCAGCATAGCAGGAGACATGGTTTCAGTCTCTTAAGTATACATCTGAAAGCGTCCTAAAAGCTCTGACTCCCTGTCACCAGTAGTTCACCACCATCCTTCACAGAACACCATCCAAATCCATCAACTTTCATGTGCAACTATATTATCTACAGGTGAATTCTATTTCCATAAGAATAACAAGATCAGATCCCAAAAAGATTCTAACAGGATCTTGTGAAAGAAAGGATGACTAACCAGATTCTGATGCGTCAGTTATAGGTTTACAATTGGTAAAACTAGGTTCCTTTAAGTGAAAATGCAGAAAAGGATAAAAACAAGCACATCAAAGAGTTAAACTCCAAAGTATAAGGAAATGGAATAGGATATACACCTTTAAATTCATCCATAAATTGCAGAAAAGTGAGGCAATCCCTTCACTAGAGTAGCTTCATTTAAATATAATGTTCTGTCCTTACATTAGAGGTTTCAATAAGCCAAAAAATTTAAAAACTTAACTTTTCCAATAATGATTCTCAATAACAAATACAAGTAAGAATTACCGAAAGAACAGAGAACTGAAATCAAAAAGGAAAACCATTACCTAGTGGTCGGTAGCCGATGCACGAAGGACGGCTGAGGGGAACAGAGGATGGCCGGCGAAGGGTGAGTGGCGGCAGTTAGGACAAACCCTAGATTATTAAAACCAGAACCCTAAAATTACAAAATTGAAAACCAAATCAACGACAAACCCTAAATTGCGAAGGAATTCAGTAGATTAAGAAGACCACATTACCTTACCTCGAAGCTGCTTCAATGGAGGTGAGAAAGCTCAGAATTGACTTCAATGGAGAATATAGAGAACGAGTTCAATGGAGGCCAGAGATATGGAGAGAGAAGGAGGTGATGCTTCAATGGAGTGAAAAATCTCGTAAACCCTTCAATGGAGAAGGTGAAATTCGGGATGGTGCGTGGAAGAGAGGGCGAAAACTAGAGTGAAAACAGAAGACGGAAAAAACGGGGTGAAAGAAAGAAAGAAAGAAAAGCACGCAGGACCCCAGTTTTTTTTTTAATTAATTGGCACCGGTTTGAACCGGTGCTAATTAAATGATTGGCACCGTTGGTTGGAACCGGTGCCAACACTGATTTTTTCAATCCCGCCCATTTTTTTTGGCACCGGTTTTCAAGAACCGAGTTAAAGGGGGGTGCCTATTTCATTTTTTCTACTAGTGATTCCTGTTAAAGTTTTGTTTCATTCTGGTGCAACTTTTTTTTTCATTTCAAAAGCCTGTTTCAAAGCTATCACCCTGTTTGAAAGCTGTAGATGTCATAGATGTACCTATAGTTATTCCTACGAGAGGGATAGTACAGTGTACCAAAACCTTTAAGAATGTCCCACTAGAGATCAAGGGAAAAGTGTTTTTGTCTGACCTCATTGAATTTGGGTTAAGTGACTTCGACGTCATTTTGGGAATGGATTGGTTAAGCAAGTATAGTGCAGAGATTCGTTGTCGATCGCAGAAAGTGCAGTAAAGTACAACTGAGGGTGAGTTGGTAACACATTGGAAGCATGGTGAAACAAAGTTCCCAAGGATCATATCTATGATGAAGTTGACTAAGTATATTAAGAAGGGACATCCAATATATTTTTATAGTGTAAGGAACTTGGAACACGAAGAGATAGCTAAGCCTGAGAACATAGAAGTGGTGAATGAGTTTTTGGATGTGTTCCCAGAAGATAATCCAAGAATGCCACCTGTAGGGAATATTTCAAACATCAACTTTGAGCCCCACTGTGATCATGCTTTTAAGCATGGTGGCGTCCAAAGGGAAGGAAGCTAGAGATAAAAGAGTCGCCAACAAGTTTTAGAAACTTGTAAACCGTTCACGGGTGTGAAGGTTACACCCATTCACGATCACGAAGATCGCTAACTCCACAGTGATCCGGAACCATGAATGTATATTCGGGGATGATGGTACGAATCCAACCTAGAAGAGATTGAACCCGCCTAAAATCGGCCACTACTTAATTCTTATGATATTTATGTGCACTTTTCGATCAACATACACACAACAAGTTAGCCCTAAACCTGTTTAATCTATGTTGGTTGATTATTAATGCACAAATAAATCTATTATTGGCGATCACTTGAATTAAAATCATATTAAGCCTAAATCAAATTATTAATTATCTTATTAGGCGTGATTTCAAGTACAAATTCCCTTTAAATCTGCAAGAAGGGCGTGATCAAGTAATAGCAATAAATCATGAATAATCAAGAAATGTATAATTATTGACACAACAATCATCATCATAATCAAAATATCATCATAATATCATCAATAATATAATTAGCAAGACCCTAGGCATGATACTAACGGATTAATAACAAACCCTAGCACGTCACTAATAATAAAGATTAAAGCATTAACCTAAACATGATACTAGGAAGCATGATATTAGAAATATTAGAACATCCTAACATGATACTAGAAATCATAAAGACATCCTAACATGATACTAGGAATTAATATTATATCTTAAACATGATTTCTATATCAAAATCGAGGAATAAGGATAGTAGATCTACTCATTTTGATGCCTCGTACCTCAATCTATCAAAACGATACGCACGTTAGTAACTTCAAGAAAAGATTAAATCAAACAATAAATCTAATCAAAGAATTAAAATATAGATTTGGGACCAAACCCTCAAAACTATCAGCCTTTCACGTCGAGGTCAAAGGCAACTATGAGATTGGCCTCGAGTATTCGAAGTTTGTGAAGGAAGTATGGTGTATGATATCAAGAAGGTGTTGGGATGTGTTTAGGGTAAAAAAATACCCTTAGACACGTGGCCCAATGAAGGCTTGCCACGTGTTGATCTTACAACGGTCATCAAGGGCCCAATCCCTTTGCAACATGTGTCCTTTGTACCCTAAATTGAGGTACAGTTCTCCCTAACTATAAATAGTGAGGGTAAACCCCATTTATGGGGATCGCAATTTAATTCCAACCACCCAAAAACACAAAACCCTATTGCAAACGATCTCCAATCGAGAAGCATTGATTGTTCCTATTATTCTTATTTCCACTTCGAAAAGATACTAACTTAATCTTCGGAGGCGGAACTCCCACCCCCCATCCGGAGTCTCCGTTACTTGTGCAGGTACAGGCGTAAGAAGGAAGTCTGCTAGGAAATTGTAACTCTCCCGAAGGACACATAAAAAACCCCCAAACATCTGGCGCCGTCTGTGGGAAGAGTACTTTCTAGATGACATCTGAGCCTATACTACCTGGAAAAGGCAATCTACCTACTGGGGAGGTTGAGGTCCATTCGGACCAAGATACAGCCGATAACTATGAGTTGGAAGCCTACACTACTGCGGATGGTTCTTTAAGGACCAAGAACACCCGTTCCAAAGATAAGAGGGAACGGGAAGAGAACCAGGCGGCTCCTAGCAAGCCAACTAGGGGGCCGCTTGGGTTAACTTCTACCGCAGGAGACTCTCTAGTCTCCAGAGACGAACTCTTGAATATGATGAAGGATTTCAAGGGGGAAATCAAGGGTTTCCTTGATAAGTCAGCTGGTCCTCGTAAGGGCCAAGCGGAAGAAAGGTATCATGGAAGAAAGACAATCAAGTCGGTAAAGGGAAGAGCTTCTACCCCTCACCCAAAACCAACGGTGCCAATCAGGCCCTTTGACCTTTCAAGACTTCGGGTTCCCACGGAAGGGATCAAAAAACCTATCCGGGATATACAGCCAGATGGAACAAAAAAACTCTACTCCGATGCCCGGGTACTCTTGGAAGACAAAAGAACTCACTTCTCTGACTCGGCATCAACGTCCACGTTCCATGACAGCTTTCATACAACTTCAGGGAGGCATTCACAAACCGGCAAGGGGAGTCGGACGCACGAAGAGTTTTTCGCGCGATCCGGTCCCCATATCATTCAGCCGACATTACATCCATACATGCCTTTTGGAACACCTTATCAGCAGACGGCTCTCTTTGGAGGTCAGCCACCATCCGTCCAGCCCATGGACTGGCAGCTCCGTCTGCAAATACTTGGGGAACAGCCAACGGCGTTCTCCAGGGAAATTACTGAGATGGCCCAGCCATCAAAAATTTAAAACATATTGGTAGGTGCCTATGATGGTACCTCCAACCCGGAAGATCACTTGATGGCGTATACAAACCTGATGTATTTGCAGGGTTTGGACGACGCCTCATGGTGTAGATGCTTCCCGACCACGTTGAAAGGGATTGCTCAACGTTGGTTTGGTAACTTACTTTCCGGGTGCATTAATAACTTCAGGACGTTGGCGTACTGGTTTACGTCCAACTTCTCGATGAATATCCCTGCCAAAAAGACAAGCCTCGACCTAGGGGCAATACAGCAGGGAGAAAAAGAGGGACTTAGTTCCTATGTCAGGCGGTTTCACCTGATGAGGATCCAAATCCATGGCCTTTCTGATAAAGTCGCCTACACAGACTTTTTCAAAGGACTGAAAGACGGGTCGGCATTTAAATTCGACTTAGTCAGGAAGAGGGTTTCCACCCTCCATGAGGCATTGATGAAAGCAGAAGCGTACATCCAGGCACTGGAGCTCTGCGCCATCAAGACACCGTCGGAGTACAAGCGGTCTGACAAGCGGGAGAGCCGGCCTGCCCAGCTGGCCAAAAAGGAGGAAAAGAAAAGAAAGAAGGTCTGGGCGACAGACTCATCCGGACAACCCTCCCAAAAGAGAAAGAGGTCGGATTTGTACGTCCCCAAGTACGAATTCGCCAAGGATTGCGCCTCCATTCTGAAGGAGGTAAAAGACCGGTTGAACCTGGAAAAACCGGCTGCAATGAAGAGTCCCGTCAGCAGTCGGGACAAGAGCAAGTATTGCCATTTCCACGAAGAAATTGGTCAAGACAATGAGGGTTGTTTTAGCCTCAGGCGGCTTCTTGACCGCTTAGCTGACGAAGGGGCTCTAAAATCATATTTTCCAAAGTCAAAGAGTACTTCCAAACAAAATAAAGGGCCGCAACCGAAGCAGGCGGAAAACCACTCAGACACAGATGAAGATACTATCTTCACAATAGCCGGAGGTCTTGCAGGCGGTGGTCCTACCATCCGGGGTACTAAATACAATATTAGAAGATTGATCAACTCAGTGGATGATGGTCAGACGTCAAACAACTCCTTTCCGGAGGTCCATATCTCCGAGGAAGACAGGGGGAATGTCAGGCGGCCCCATGATGACCCCATAGTCGTCGAGTGTAAAATTGCCAATCAGCGAGTTGGCCGTATACTGATTGACACGGGAAGCTCGTCCGACATTATAAGCTATCGGTGCTTGGAAAAGCTGAAGTATAAACCAAGCAACATGAATCAGGTTACCTACCCCCTAGTGGGTTTTGGGGCAGGAGTCGTACATCCGGTGGGAATTATTGATCTACCCATCCGGTTTGGAGAGAAGGGTCTAGGCCGGCACATGGTCGTCAAGTTCCTTGTCGTTGAGGAACTGACGGCCTACAACTTGATCATTGGCCGACCTACCTTAAACATCTCCAAGGCCGTCATTATCCCTTCTCTAATGTTGATAAAATTTGAGAGGGATGACGGCACGGTCGGTTCCTTGAGCGGGGACCAAAAGATGACAAGGGAGTGTTACCTCTCGGACATCAAGCCAACTCTGACCGCAGACGGTCAAGACAATGTTGAAATACTTGATGATTGTGATCAAGCAGCATCTGAAGAACCTGTCCCAGCCGGCAAAAACATAAAGGCGGATCCCCTAGAATCCGTCAAAACAAAGCAATAGCAATCACTATCAGGGGAGAGGTCAGACGACCTCCGGCCCCAGCCGGCTGGTGAGAGCATAGACATCATATTAGATGACAGTCGGCCAGACAGGACCGTCAAAATTGGGACGGCTGCTTTGAAAACATTAGGGGCAGACTTGCCATTTCTTCTCAAAGAATTCAAAGATGTGTTTGCCTTTGAAGTAGAAGAAATGTCGGGTGTAAGCCCAGACCTTGCTGTCCATAAACTCACTATGGATCCTAAAAAGAAGCCGGTAAGACAAAAGAAGAGGAATCATGCCGAGGTCAAGAAACTCTTAGATGTTGGGTACATTCGGCAATGCAACTATCCCGAGTGGGTAGCAAACGTAGTACTTGTAAAAAAGCCGAATGGTACTTGGCGGATGTGTGTAGATTACACGGATCTGAACAAGGCATGCCCAAAGGATAGTTATCCACTTCCAAAGATCGACCACTTGGTCGATTCCACAGCCGGCCATGCTTTGATGAGTTTCATGGATGCCTATTCGGGCTTCCATCAGATACCCCTATGGAAGAAGGATCAGGAGAAAACAACATTCGTCACTGATCAAGGGTTGTATTGTTACACTGTGATGCCGTTTGGATTGAAAAATGCGCCTGCCACCTTCCAAAGTATGATCAACTCTGTATTTTTTCACAAAATTGGAAGGAACGTGGAGGCATACATTGATGATATGATTGTCAAATCCAAACTCCAGGCGGATCATCTGGCTGACCTCCAAGAAACCTTCTCCACCCTCAGGCGGCATAGAGTCATGCTTAATCCAAAAAAGTGCGTCTTTGGGGTTGAGTCCGGAAAGTTTCTCGGATTCTTGATTAAAGGGGCATAGAAGCCAATCCGAAAAAGGTACAGGCGGTAATAGACATGAAGTCACCCCGTACGGTTCGAGAGGCTCAAAAGCTTACAGGTTGTCTGGCGGCATTGGGGAGATTCCTCAGCCAGTCA